CCAAACTTCTCACTGAAGGACCTGAGGAACTACAAGTTATATCAATAGTTGGCATGGCAGGTCTTGGAAAGACAACTCTGGCTAAAATGATATATACTGATCCTGATGTTGAATTTGAGTTCTACAATCGTGCTTGGGTGTTTGTTTCTCAAAAATATAGTAGAAAGGAAGTGCTTCACGATATTCTAAGACAATTTACTAAGCCTAGCAAAGCTGATATGAATGAAGTCGAATTAGCCGATGAACTTCGTCAATTTTTGGAGAAAGGAAAATATTTAATTGTCATGGATGACGTGTGGACTAACAAGGCTTGGGATGATTTAAAAACTGCGTTTCCTGAAAACAAGAAGAAGAGTAGAATTTTACTTACTTCTCGTATTGAGAAAGTGGCTAAGTATGCCAACCCCAACATTGATCCTCATAAGTTGCGATTTCTAAATACTGAAGAAAGTAGGATTTTACTCCAGAGGAAGGCACTTGGATCAATGGAGTGCCCTGACGAGTTGAAAGACCACGAATTGCGCATTGTCCAGAAATGTAAAGGACTACCACTGGCGATAGTGGTGATTGGAGGAATTCTGCTAGGAAAAGGTAAGGAAAGCGATTCGTGGAAAAAAGTTGCTGAAAGTGTAGAGGCATTTATTAACATGGACGAGGAGAAAAAAATGGACCATTTTATAGAAATGAGTTTTGATCATTTACCTTATCACTTGAAAACATGTTTTCTCTACTTTGGGATATTTCCTGAAGACTTCCAAATTCCGGTGTGGAAACTGCTTCGCCTTTGGATCGCTGAAGGATTCATACAGCAGAGTGAAGGAATGAGCATGAGCCTGGAGGATATTGCTGAAGAGTACTTGGAGGATTTCATCAGCAGGAATTTAGTCATGGTTGGGCAAAGAAGGTTAAATGGCAAAGTTAAAACATGCCATATTCATGACATGCTACACGTGTTTTGCAAGAAACGAGCTGCACAAGAAAGCTTTTTCGTGGAAATAACACAGAGTAATCAAGGTACTTATTCATCTTCCAACCCTGACTACGAAAAGTGTCGTCGCCTTTCCATCAATTCCAAAATTTCTAACTATATCTCTTCAAAACCAACCGGTCCACGTGTTCGGTCTTTTTTGTGTTTCGCCCATGAAGAAATAACCTTGCAACATGAGCAAAATTCTTCCATCCCTGC